CGTTACGTGTTTTCCATTTTTATATATATATTTTTTTTGTTTGTATTTTCCCGACACACCTATATATATATGTAGGTGTATATGCAAGTAAAGCCGCAACGGCTGTCGCTGTCACCGGCCCTTCTGTATAATAAAACGATCAAGAGTTAGTTCGATGTCGTCGTTTCAGTCACCATTTGGATGGCACTTAGGTACAAAACGACGGTGCAGTGTCTTATTGTGGGTCCTACTTGGTCCGAAACCATCATTACTTCTGTTAGCGATATATAGTGACTTATGATACGGAAATTATGTTAGTTTTCTAAAAATTCATTAAATTCAATCGGTGTGTTTAGGATCTTGATGTTTGGCACCCGCCGAGTTGGGTAAAATTGATGGGGTCTTGCGCAAAACCCACCACAAGTCCGTTTCATCAAAAATGGATTTTACAAAAACGGTGCACATTTTAGAGCAACAAAAAGTAAAAGTTACTTATAATTATAATATTACTATAAACGCATCCCCTCCCGCCAATTGTACTAAACGAGAATACAATTTTCTTTTAGCTTAAAACAAAGATAAAAGCACAGAATACATTAAATTCAGTCTATTCTGTGATTAGAGTAGATAGATGCACGAAGATAATAACATAATGTAGAATATATATTTTAGAAGTAAATTATTAAAAATAACTAGGGTGTATGTTGTGTAATGTATACAAGAAGTAAGGCAAAATTAAAATACTCCAAGTCGGCTGTAGGGCCAAAACCTACAAGGTAGAAATAAATTATTCGTCCTTCGTAGTTTTTGTAATAGAAAATGTGTTTAATTATATTTTACACTATTCACTAATGAGTAGGTATCGTTGAATCGCTATAAAGGCGTCACGTACACGAAACGGTGTAAAAACACATTGGATATTAGGGTGGTAAAGCATTGAAAATATAGTTTAAAAAATACATATTGACAGTAAACGCTATGTTATGATATAATAAAAGCATACATAGTGCTATTGATAGGTAATGGGTGTTATACAATCTAGCATTGAGAAAATCGACGGCAATACAATTAACCAATATTTGCGTTGGCCGTAAAATAAATAATAAGATAATAACTGACTGACAACCGTCAGTCAAAAAGTCATCGTCTGGGGTAGTATAAGTTTTAAATTATAATATTTTTTCAACTAATAGAGATAATATTTCACCGTGAAAAAATATATTAAAAATGGATATAAGACTCGTAAATCGTTTAAAAGTGACAGGTCAAAAACACCCCCCCCCCCTAAGTCAGGAGGAGGGGGGGCTCCTGACTTTCAACAATACTATAACGGAAGAGACAATGCCCATAATAATAATAATAATGCTAATAGGCATTAGCGATGGTAAATATGCTCAGATATTTTATGTTACCGGTCTCGATGACTTAGGAGGTAACACGCAATAATTCGACACACTGGAATTGCACCGCAGCCGATAATGGGTTTGATTTGTTTATTTTTTTTATCCATTAAAGGAACCTTAGGAACTAACCGCTTGCCGAACAACAGATATCGCTCATTTTACAAATCGAAAGTTATGACACATATTAATTAACATTGCTTTTCTATGTACTGGATGTTCAAGACACATAAATCACTTTACAATTACATTAGCATCCTTTTTTAAAAAAAGTTGAATATTTATTCAAACGATATAAAACAAAATAATATAGTGGATGGAACGGAAAAATCTTAGATACTAGACATAAACATGATATTAGTGTTGAAACCTTACTGAAAGATAATGGTTGTTAAAAATTATACTAATTTAACCTTTTCCCCGGTAAAACAATTACATAAACTAAATTAAAGAATAAACGTATTGTGTTTTGTACTAGTCGAGCTTCTTTTAATTTATACCGTCACCAACTAGATTTTGTATAAAAAAATATTAGTATATTCACGTATATATTTGCTTTTTCTTTGAACTCACTCAAAAGGCGGTATTTTATAATTTTATCGTATCTGACTTGGGCCCGTTATTTACCCCATTGACATCGCGTGCCCTAGGTAATCACCATAAATCTGTAGCGCTTGCGAGGACAAAGGGAGCTTTTTTATAGGAAACTACCATTAAACGAGATTTAACGTCATCTGAGTGGAATCGTCGCCAATGACAAATTGTAAGTCAGGTATTTTTGCCCTTTCACTATATAATGATGATGTTTGTCATTTGTCTTTGATATTATTCAAGCGAAATACGGAATAAAATTATACTTATTAATTTAATTCCGACACTGGAATATCGTACAAACCTAATGCGGCATTCGTGGTTAACCGGTAGCTTTAATCCGTTTTAAATGGATCTATTATTATTAATATTATGACAAAATACATGTATGCGCACAAATAAAAAAAAATTTACAAACGTTGAAATTATCGCACCGCGTCTTTTGTTTCTTATGTTCTGCATCAAGCTCAATGTGTCACTTATCCTATGTTGTTGTATAACATTGGAAGCACCACAGTTTGGAAAATGGTCCCATTTTAAATTCATATTTTTGAAGAATTTCCCGCTATTTTCTAAACATGAATAGATACATATTTTGTCTAACTTAATTAAATTTTTTAACTAATCAACGTCTTGTTTTGGATATAACTAATTTATTGCAGTTCGCGAAATTTCCAGCACCATTTACGTTAATAGGACGGCAAGTAATTTATTAATTTTCGTGTTATCCTAACTCGGATAGAATAAATAGTTTGTTCGACGAACAAATGTCGTTTTATACGTCTTTATTAGTGCATAGGTATTTAAACGCATTTTATCGGTAGTTTTTGGCGCACAAATGCATGTTTTTTAATTGATTTGTAAGTGCATTTAATCCACACGCCTGTACATTTAATGTTGCATATTATACATTGATTTATATTGTAAACGATTTCGCGCGAAATCAGCGTTTTCCTGATATTCCGGTCGCTTTGTCCCGTGCCCTTCTGTTATGGCAACAACAAAATACCGACAGTAGACTCAATAATAATTAAACGGCATTGTTTAGATTGCTTCTTAAGGTCGCCTTGATTTTTCTCGTAAACGGTGAGAAATGATTTTGTACGGTCTGCGATTCTGCCCGTATGGCGCGCTTAAATTGTATTTCCCAGCTGTGTTAACACAACTAACTGCATCTGCATCCGATTGATACAGATTGCGATGTTGTTTACACACAATAATAAGTAACAATAGTGGCCGACGACTCAAAGCGCATTACCCAAACTTGCTTTCGTTATAATTATTATTCAACCCAACTCGATAAAAGAACATAAAATAAAAACTTGTATGTTATCAACTGATTATCCCTCCCTCGCCCCATAATTTCGCCATTGATAAAAATGGTTGGTTTTTTTTTATATCAATAATTATACTCCGAGCAAAATATTATTGGATTTAATTTTGAGCCCAAAAGGTTTGGTTTTTACAATACCGGACTTGTCTCAGGTCCCGGCCAAGGCTAAATTACCCGAGGATAATAGTTATTGTGATGTGATTATTATTAATAATACTAATACAATTATGTCATTAATTTTGGTGTACGCAAGGCGAGAAAGAGGTCAAACGACTGATCCCTCGACTAGATAATAACATGTGCGCACTGTGTGTGCATGTGTTTTAATTAATTTGTACAACCAGCACAAAATGATGATGTGTCTACAAAACGGGCGATGGCCTCACAGGATACATTATATTAATAATTGTATGAAGTCGTATAAGCATCATATGTTAGTAACGATAATTAAACGCCCAGTGCGTAATTCGTGTGTCGTAATAACGTTATAATAAAGAATTCCAAAGCACTTTGTTTATTGTTACTGATATTTTTAAAAGGGTCAATGGTGGAATTAGTATTTAAAAGGACGTCGTACAGCCAATTTTTCAACGTTGAAACGCAAAAATACCTCTAACAAAAACGAAAAATGACAGAATTTTTGAGACAACGTTATATTATTTTTCGATAAACTTAATATTTAACATTTAAAATCAAATTTTTTTACTATTTAAACTAGCTTTTTTTCACGTTGATATTTTCAAAAAATCAATATGACATTGTCTTCAAAATGTGCTTACCTATGTTTCGATTACATATTAAGTAAACACTTAATATAAAATCGAAAACAGCTATAGACTTAGTAAAACTCAGTTAACGGGTATCACGTCCTCTTAACAAGAATAAAATATTTTAGTGAACTTTACAAGGCGTTTTAGTTATGCAATTTTAGTGCGTTTGCGTCGGTGGAAATTTTGAATTGTATACATATTATAATATTAATAGCATATTATTATGTCTCTCGATATTTAAACCTGAATATTACCATTAATAATAATCAGTTATCAAAAAAAAAACATATTAATAATAATAAACACTGATTTTTAATATTCAAACAAGGATGATGTTTAACCAAAAATTTGATGATTTATTTTTATTTTTATAAATACAGTAAAAAACTAAAAATAGAAGTAGATGGGGTATTAATAAATACGGGTTTGGCCAACAATAATATACTATCAATGGTGAGTACGTACATTCTAATATCCAAAACTAAAAAATATCTTTTCTTTTACTACTATATAATTATATGTATAAGAATCCAAAAGGAAATTGGAGACCAACAAAAAAGTCACAACGGTTATTTGTGCACTATCTTGTTAATAACTTAATACAAATCATACAATACAGAGATCTGACGATAAAAATTGTTTTTTTTAACTAACAAATTTTTAAGCTATAAATAATATGTTTATTGTTTAGTATATTTTATTTTACGCCTAAATAATTTATTATAATTTCAGAAAAAAATAATTTATTTTATATTATATTATTAAATTTTAAATAATATACTGTATACATTTTTAAATCTCACAAACTATCACTTTTTTTTGTTTTGAAAAACAAATACTGCGATCAAACTAACTTATTATTATTGTGTTTTATTAGTTGCGTTGATTATTATGTATAACTCTAATATTTAGTTTTGTTTGTTTTAGTGTTATCAACGGTTAGTTGGGAAGAATGGTGGACTTACGACGGTATATCAGGTAATTACAATGACAAAAGTATATACCTACAATTTGTTTTTGGGTCTGTGGTGGAATTAAAATCAATTTAAATAGGTATAATTATTTTTTTATATTGAGTTGTTCGTCATTAATGTTTACAGTTTGTTGAAAATATTCTGTATTAAGAAGAAATTAATCATTTGAAATAGTTTACTTCTTATAACATACTATGTATGTATATGTAGCGTTCGTTGGTATTGTTCTTTGGGTGAATCCTAAAATTCTTTTTTTAAGCCACCTTCTAATGAAAACACGTTTCATTAACGCCGAGTAGTTTTATTTCCCTAGTATAGTTTATTAAAAAAAAAAACGATGTTAAAAATATTTTTAGCCGTTTCCATAAGATCCCAAATTTTTGTTTTTTTTTTTTGTATCGATTTTATCAGATGTTGTTATTTTATCAATTATCAGTCAATGTCGTCTAATAGGAAACAACAACGTATGGCGTGTGTTGTCAAGAGGTCGGTAACGGTTAACGCTAATCGTGTAGCATGTGAGCGACGCAAGGGCTTAAAATAATGTACAAATCTGATAGAACATGTCGCCGGTTTGGTTTTTTATTTTCATTTCCGTTAGGTACCGGCCAGATATCTCTTGACATCCACGCGGTAATGGAAGCAATGCGATGTGACGACGCAGTAAAATCATTTCGAAAAGGTTAAGATTACTTCCGTGGAAAAAAAATATCATCAACCGTTACTTGGATAGTAAATGTCACGTGCATGTTTCTGTACACCAGAGTATAAAATAATAAACGTTTAAAAAAAGAAACCCCCGAAGAACAAGTATGTTCTCGAATGGTAATGGTATAGTACAGCGTGTTGTTGTTTTTAATAGGGTTTATCGGAGTACCAGAAGAAGGTATTCATTGAATAATATCTACTGAAGATAATATCACCTAATAAAAACATTACAAAAAAAAAAAAATTATTTGCCAGTCAAGTTGCGTGGGCTCAGAATAAAATGAGCTTCTTAGTGGTATAAAAGTACATATAAGCTCGCGATAGTTTTCAACAATCTATTTCATGCTAATAAATAGTAGTAATAGTGTTTGTATGTATAAATATTATTACAAAATGCTTCAGGTAAAATTATTATTTTGTGTTTTTAGAAAAAAACTGTAAAATTCATTTACTTTTTATTTGCTCAATTGTTCAAACTTTTTCGCTCTTAATGCTCATTACAACATTGAAACCAAAAATTAAAGATAATTGAACAGCTGAGAGGAAAAGGAATAATATTCCTCAATGTTTTCTATATAATTTATATAGTTATTATTAAATAAAAATAAGTAATTAATTTAAAAAAAACACATATACTGTTATATAAAATAAACTAAATATTACGCGACGTGTAACGGTCTGATCATTTGCGACGAGTATAATAATAATATAATATAACTTTAGTTGTGTCCCGTGCACTATATATTCGCACACAAACAAAGACAAAAAATAATAAAAAACTTAGTAGTATAAACATTAGAACCACCGCGGTTGAGATAAAAAAGAACTAATCAAAACAATATAAAACAAACAGGTCCAGACGTCTGGTATACTTCAGAAAAATAGGATTGAAGAAAAAATGACCTTTTTAAAATAATATAAAAAAATTGTATATTTTATTTTCGGTTTTTCCATTTTTTTTTTGTCGTTGACTGGCAATAAGCTCCAGAATACGAGGAAATACTACATACTTATACAACTTTTAAGATTTAACGCGGCACACCTCGAAGACGCTCACGGCGCACCAATGTGCCGCGGCACACCGGTTGAAAACCACTGCTTTATACGCTCATAATATGAGTATCCCCTTTCAGATACAGCATGGCTATCTCAGTTTATTTTCCGTATTTTTAGAACTTAATCCTTTTTCCACTCAGCTGTTCAATTTAACTTTAAGCGTCGCATAAAAAGGTGAGATCTAAAGTACGTAAGATCTAACTTATAAGTATAAAAATTATATGCATTTCTGTACAAAACAAATGGAAAAACCTCTCCGAAAATATAAAAATTTATACTAGTCGTCTTTCATTCTAATTCCACGTAATATTGAGTTAGACTGATGGGTTTAAAGCATACATTCAAATTAATTTATAAATTGAGCAACTGAATGGAAAAAGGATAAAATTCTAAAAATACGAAAGTGAATGGAGATAGCCATTTTGTAGCTAACTAAAACCAAAACCTGATATTATTCTAAATAAAGCATTATTCCTAAACAAATTGAGTGTTAAAATTATTTTTAAAGCCTAATTATATCTTTAAATTAGGTAAAGTGAGTAGAAAAAGGATAACATATAAGCTTATTAAATGTTTTATATAAAAAACTATTGATATTAATGATTTCAAATTTTAGGAAGTTAAAGTAAGGTATTTTCTTTACATAATTTGTATTTTGTACATGCAATATTTTTCTTAAAATCAAAATTTAGGAAATACAAATTTTTCTTTAAAATTCTGAAAGTTGGGTCTTAAGGAATACTATCCTTTTTTCACTAAGCTGTTCAATTTATGATATTACTAAAATATTACAAGCGATAAAAATTGGTTGAAATGTGTTATTTAGCCAATATTCAAATTTCGGTTAAATCTGAAGTTTCAACAATTATAATTTAAACTGACAATATTACTATCTATATCTTGATTACGAAAACAAAGTTTAAGTATTAAGTAGAAATTTTTCATAATTTGTAGTCATACATGCTATTGAAATCTATGTCACTTAGATTCAAGGAAAAAAAATTAAATTTGCTTCTCTAGGTGTAATTTTTGTACTTTTTCCTTTTCAGTTTACATGGACATTAACGTACCATCTTAAACAGGTTATAACAAGGTCCACCTACAGCCGTAAAAGTTTTCTTCGAGGGTATTTTTTTTATCGATGTCATAATATTAAATGTTTAATGGCAGGTTGAGTTAGTGTAATCGTTTTATTGCTGTACAGTGTCAGTAACGACCTGTGACAGCTATTTTCCCCTTGAAATAGTGAAACATGTCGGTTAAATAAACCCCTATGTCCTATGCATACCGAACCTTTTTCGTTATTGCTATTTTTCTTTAACGATCCAGACAATTAATAATGGGGTGATTTTTATTAATTGAGAATACAGCAACATGTATTAGATTATCGTTAAACGGAGATTGTCCCGCTTTGGCCAAACTGTATAACAACGAGGGGTACACAATTGTGTGTTACCTAATTTCCTTGTCCTCTTGAAACTATATATATATATTATAATGTTTTATTAACTAATACAATTTTTCTTATATAATTCCATATAACAATACACGTAGTTGAATACATAGACGTTAAAAGTAAATTCCCGACAAAAAGACTCTAAAAATCGTTAACCAGTTTTGAATAAATACTTTTTGAGTTATCAGTTTAAAATGGTAAATAACTTTTTTTTTAAAAAGTTAATAAAATATGCACGTTACTTTTTCAGCTTCAAAGGTTGACAGAGCTTAAGTATTTACGAAAAACGATAAAGCTTGACTATTGTCTTATAATGCAAAATAACATAAAATAAAATAATTATTATTTACAATAATAATATGTTACTTAGTATTACTGTATAGGCACGGCAAATGTATGAACTTGCAATTTTAAACATTAGGTGTTAAAATACTTATTCAGTAATTAATGATTTTAATTATTTATTAGGTAGTTTTTATATTAAGATAAATACTAGGTACCACATTATACGATTGCTCGCTGGCAGAGAACAAAACAAATTATTCAAAAAAGTATTCATACACATCGTACCGTATGCAATTAATAGTTTAATTGGCACTTAATAATGAAGTATTAACGAAAAAATCAAGACGTCGACTCTGTTAGTATTTCTGTTTTTAAGCTTTAAGGACTTGCTTACGAGCTCTTTTTTTACCAGCTTTATTTTTCTACGGAATTCCATGAATAGTTCTTTAAGCAGACAGATTTTGATAGTGAATTCATGATGGATAAGTTTTCCACGAAGGTGAAATGCTGACATAAGCGTATGGAAGTTATAAGGAAACACGAACATAAAAATGAACACAATTTTTAGTACTGTATTTCTAAATCCCGCGTATGGACATACTTTTCATGGTTTGTTAACTGCAAAATTCCTATATATATATATTTGTACAATACATCAAATTAGCCAATTAGTAACGTCGGAGATTAATAAAACTGATACGACATAATTTTACCTTCAAACCATTTGATTGAAGTATTAGTTTTGTTATATAACCACTATAATATGAACTCAACTTTAATTTTAACGGATCAAATGTTGTTATGATGTTTAAGAGGTTCTGTTTTTTGTCAAGACTATTATTTTTAAGTGTCGTTTTTATACGATGGCCGCCGAGTTGAATGAATGTCAACAAACGACAAGTTGACCGTTATAATAAGGGTGTTCCACTTGTAATCGACGCCCATCGCTTAAGCTAACAACTTTAATAAATAATCATATAGAAATTGTACACTACTGTAATACACTATAATAATTACATTACACACATAGTTATGTTCGGGCACTAATACTGTCACAGGGTAACCGATGGAAACAACTTAATAGGTACAACATGAACAATAATAATAATACTCGTAACAGATAATTGTATGCAAAAGTCAAAACAGCATCTGGTCAGTTTTAATGATAGAATGACAAATTTACAGCCCTCAAGAGTAAGCCAAAATTTAAAATAACATATGCACGGTGCGTTATTTATAACGTTGCTGTGTTTGCGGTAAATAGATTTTTGTCGGACGAACCGGCGCGGCGTGAAGTGATAAACTACGGTTGCTGTAAGATTGCTTATTTACTAGTCTGGAACGAAGTAGGTATAACTTACCTGTATATACTTACAAGGAAGAAAAAAAAATATACACATTTAATGTTTAAAAAACATGTACATATGTAAGGCGAAAGAGAAAAAAATCATTGGCGTAAAATGGGAGAACGTAAGGAGGAAGGGCAAGAAAAGATGGTT